TATATATATATATATATATATATATATATATATATATATATATATATGTACAAAGATATGTATATCTATCTCTCTCTCTCTATATATATATATATATATCACAATGTCCTCATCTATCATACATTACAATGGTGATAGTATCTCACACACTATCAATGCAGGCCTGCTGGTTCAAGTTCTGAGATGGGTTTTGTAATGCCTTTTGAGCATAGATTTTCAGCGGGGCTATGCAATTGCATATTGTGTGCAAAATTTATTTGAATGAGTTGGTCTGTGCTTTTTTTTTCTTTTCATTATTTGGCATGGAATTAGATTCGCTTGTCTATGTATGCCTGAGTTTTTCAAGTTGGCTTCCCTTTTCGTTCATCAGTACTCCTGTACTCGTGGGAGGGCACTAGGGACAGTGGCTTAATGACTCAAGCTGAAGGCTGAGCTCCAAGGATCTGTTTGGCCCACCACAACTGAGTTGATCCTTTTCATCTTTTCCTATTTACTACGAGTTTTTAGCATGTAAAACATCTGCATATTTCAAAGGTTAAAACCATAAAAATGTCAACGGAGGCATCTCACGCCCCTCCTCCCTGTGCTCGGTTTCCTTGTGGCCACCACTCGTTATCTTAAATCATTTTTAATTAAAATCTGAATCGACTTTTCTGTGTTTCTTCTTGCATATTCAGGAGCAGGGTGCACACAGACAAATTTTCTGTTCGAATTTTCTTTTCTTTCTTACATAAAGTATACTGTAATAGTTATGGGTGTTTATACTTTATTGCATTATTTAATGATATATTTTAGAAAGCTTTTTATATTAGTTCATGGTGATTTTCTTTTTAATAGTCAAAGAACCACATGGAAGCATAGCATAAGAGCATATGTCTATCTATATAGATGAGCTTACAATAAGAAAAGAGAAATGTCTAAGTACTCAACAGGGAGAGAAAATTAAGCACTAGAATTGTTAGCAAGTGCAAATCCACTGCAGCTGCTTCTGGAACGTGCATTCTGGTAGGAGCCACAGGATCTGTGATCTAGGGGGATGGGTGTTGTTGTTGCTTTTACTCTTAATTGCTTGCGAAAACAAAAGTTGAGGCAGCAATGTGAAATTTAGTTATTCACATAAAACTAAGTTCTCAGAATAAATGTATCCTTCATGCAACAAAAGACCAGAAAGCTGCTTCCTACAGGTGTTGTTTACAGCTAAACAACAAGCATCATCTTTTAGGAAGCACTGTTAAAGACTGGGAAAATCAGTTCAGGTTGTTAACAAGAAATTCCCTGTTCACGCTGACAACACAGGCTCAAAGTCATCACAGTGAAAACAGTATTGGAAGGAGAAATCAATAGCACAACAACAAATTCTCCACTTATTTACTTATTCCTTTTTTAAAAAAATTCACATTTGTATTTTTATTTTGCCTACTGTGCTTGTGTTTGTGTTTGTGTGTGTGTATATATATATCTGCATGTATGTGTGTGTATGCATGCATGTACATGTGTGTGTGCGCGCATGTGCATGTACAGGTGTATGCGAGCCACGGTGTCTATGTGAAAGTCACAGGACACCCTTCCGGAGCTGGTTCTCACCTCCCGCCTTCTATTGAGGCAGAGTCTCTTGAAGATCTGGGAGTGGAGGAGGAGAGGATTCAGCAGCAGGAGAGAGAGTAGAGATTAAAAAGAACCCACTTTCTTGACTATTGTTTAGAAGGTAAATTTTCAGTACTAGGTGATGGCTTGGCTTTAGGGTGTGGAAGGAGAAGAAGAATGTGTTGAAATGAAAAGATGCTAGAACCAGCCAGAGAACCCAACCTTACACTTCACACACCAAGGTTGAATTCTTCTTACCTCTGTTTAAAATACTGAAATTCTTGCTTTTCTTCTCAATGTACCATACATATCCTGCCAGATCCAAAGGATGCCAGATTTCTTCCATGTATGATCATTTATATTCCTATTACAAAATCTGACCTTTACAATTTCTCTTAATTATTTCTAGACTAGACCTATGTAGGCCTGAAGGTCTACTGGTGAAGGAGGGTATCTAGCAATATGACCCTGGGAAATTGAGTTCTGATTTACTTAGACACCTAGGGATACAGCAAATGTACCAGAGTGTTTCCTAGTGTTGTCAAAATTCTTTTAAAATGGCAAAGAGCTTCTCAAAGGACCTTCAAGTTCCTTTCCCTAGTGACAATGACAGCAGCTTCTGGGCCCCTTTAATCGGAAGCTGCCTGGCCTCCTGCTTCACGTGGCAGCCAGCTGTGCTTATTCAATTAATTTCTTTACACATAGCAAAATAACTCATCTCCTTGGTATGCCTTTTGACATTTTAGGGCTTCAGCCCACGTTTTAAAGAGAAAAAAGTACTTCTGAGCGATTTATTCACCTACAATCAAATTCTTGGAACTGCCTGCACCGTGCAAACATTTGGGTCGTTTTTTCTTTCTATTTAGCAATGAATTAGTGGTTGTTATTGCCCCTATAATCTATTCATTTTAATGTTCTGTCATTAGTTTATACAACTGTATCTATGTTGCTGCCTGTGGTGGTTTTAACGAAGATGTCCCCCACAGGCTCAGATGTTTGAATATTTGATCCTTACTTGGTAGCCCTGTTTAGGTTGGTTTAGGAGCTGTGGCCTTGCTGGAGGAAGTGTGTTACGAGGGGGAAGTTTTGAGGTTTGAAAACTGTTTGCCATTCCCAGTGTGCTCTCTCTGCTTGGCGAGTCTGGTTAGAGACATGAGTCCTTAGTTCCTGCTTCATCAGCCATGCCTGCCACCTGCTGCTTCTGCTGCATCATCAGGAACTATAGCCCTCTGTAACCATAATTCCAAATGAATCCCCCTGGCTACATGTTGCTCTGGTCATGATGTTTTACCACTGCAAGAGAAAAGTCATCATTCTCCGTGATACCAGTTTTTTATAAACCAGGTATTATCTCCAGCTCAGATTTCTCCCAGTGGTTCCTCACCTGGATTAGTCACTTTTCCGTTGCTATGGTAAAGCAGCATGATTAAAAGCAACTTCTCTTGGGAGGATACGTTTCCAGTGACCATTTCACAGGAGTTGCCTAAGACCACCAAAAATATCAGATGTTTAAATTATGATTCATAACAGTAGCAAACTTACAGTTATGAAGTATCGATGAAAATAATTTTATGGTTGGCGGTCACCATAACATGGGTAACTGTATTAAAGGGTCACAGTGTTAGGAAGATTGAGACCCACCGATCGAGGGACAGCAAGCACAATGGCAAGGAAGGCATTACAGCAGGTGATAGGAAAAGGAAGCTGAGAGATCTCTTTCCATCCTCACGCAGGAAGCAGAGAGTACAAACCGGAAGTGGGGACCGGCTATTTCAAAGTCCTTTAAAGTCCAGCCCCTCAGTGGTGCACTCCCTCCAGCAAGGCTCTACCTCCTAAAAGTTCCATAACCTCCCCCAAACAGAGCCATCAGCTGGAGAAGTGTTCAAACAAGTGAGTTTGTGGGGGACCCTTCTCATTCAAACCACACGCCATCAT